ACTGCTGTAATATAGGTGTATCATATATTAAGAAAATAGATTTTATATTACTATATTAAGAGTCTTGGCGGTCTTTTAATCATGTATGTAATTTTAAATGTTATTTTGATATATGGAATGTATTGTTGTACAGTAGTTTTGTTGTACTGTATTTCAAATTTTGATGATGATGACTATCTGATTATGCATGTATATTTATGTGTTATATTGCGCTGCTGACTTCTTCTATATTTGAAGCAGACCCCTTTGTGGATTCTTTAACTGTAATAAATGAATGAATGAATAAAATGTATATTTAAATTAACACTGTTGCCTATTGCTAGAAAGCAATGGACTATGGAATGAATACTCAGGAAAAGGGTGTTATTACTGTTGTGATACAGGTGTATTATATATTGTGACATGTTGCACACGTTACAATATTAAGAAAATAGATTTCATATTACTATATTAAGGATCTTGATGGTCTTTTAATCATGTATGTAATTTTAAATGTTATTTTGATATATGGAATGTATTGCTGTACAGTAGTTTTGTTGTATTGAGTATTTAAATTTTGACGATGATGACTATCTGATTATGTATGTATATTTATATGTTATATTGTATTGTTGACTTGTTCTATATCTGAGGCAGATGTCTCTATGGATTTTTTGGAACTATAAATAAATGATAATGATGATATATGTTATTTCAATATATGGAATGTATTGCTGTACAGTAGTTTTGTTGTATTGAGTATTTAAATTTTGACGATGATGACTATCTGATTATGTATGTATATTTATATGTTATATTGTATTGTTGACTTGTTCTATATCTGAGGCAGATGTCTCTATGGATTTTTTGGAACTATAAATAAATGAATGAATGAACTAAGTAGTCACCAGTGCTTTTCTTTTCTTGTACTGGCTGAAAAACAGCATTAGTAGAACTACACTTCATTTAAAAAATCAAAACCTTATACAGGTACATATCCATATGCACTTTTCTACTAATTTTTATGACCAGAAACCAACATGAAAAATATAGCATATAATAATGGGACACAGTGCATATTGATTTTAGGAATATAATTGAAATGGTTATTGAATTTTGAATTAAAATATGCCCTGAAGCTAAATATTCAAGTTAAAACTTGCCTTTGATTATATTAAGACTAGTTATTAATGTTACTAGTAAATAATTATTGTCCTGTGTGTAAATGGTATGTATAACAGAATGGTGAGAGGAATATAAGTCTTTCCTTAGGTCTAAAACAGAAAACCCTAAAGAAATCAAACATTTCTTTTAAAAGTATAATATAATAACTTAAGTTCTGAAGTGACAATTGTTTTGAATGTATTTACAAGGTGCAGTGGTTCTGTGACAAAACACTGAAAATACAAGTTGTTAGGGATGCTGATTATCAGTACACGATTATCAACAACCTAATATTCAATTCAGCAAATAATTCCAGGTGTGTATGATCTTGTCATAAAGAATTTACTTGAACAGAACATACCACTTCAAACTGTAATAAGTAGTATGTGGCTTTCCTACCAATACAAGCAAATTCTGTATGACCTGAAGTTCTCATAGTGGCAGTAATCAAGAGGTCAATCATCTGGGATATAACACAGTGCAGTCTGTTGAAAGTCTACCAATATTTTGGATAGATATGCGGCCTCCACCTTCAGGATTGATGAGAACGCCAAGCAAGGCATTAGGGTGACGCGGGCAGCAAACTACATGGCATTATATCCCTGAGAAGTCAAAGTAAATTGTTTTGTAAGATATAACCTAATCTGTACGATTTCATAATAATCTATTTATAAAAATGTTCTGTAAATCTCTGGAAAAAAGCATTACTTAACACAATACTTGCCTACTTCCTTACACTTTTCTTTTTATTTACCTGAAATTTCAGATAACAGAACTATATCTAGCTCCAGCAGAAACAGAAATGGTAGTCTTTGATCTCGATCTTTCTGTAACCTTCTTTCGTATTTGTTTGTGGCTTCCTGTAACCTCATTAAAGTTCCAGTTTTGTCGAGATATCTCAGAATATCCTCTTGGTATTTAAAAGCAGTAACCGGAATACAGCCATAACCAAGCGTCTGCTTATGGTAGCTGGACAAGGCAAATTACATTATCCAAGTAATTTATTTATTTTAAAAGGTGATTGCATTACTAAAAATACACAGATACTTACAGTTCAATTCTTCGTGTTGAACTTTCTTTCATGCTCGTTTTACTGCTGAACCTGTTGGACGAAAAACCTAGAAGGCTTAAAGCATACATATTACGAAATTCAAAGATGGTACCAATCGGGCGTTAACTACACAGCACGTGTGATGTCTTAATGTGCTGTCATCTGTCCAGGAGGCATTGCACTACGACCACTACCACCGACTATTACAGCAGTGTTTTTAAGTAACCACGGTAAACTACACAACTCACATAATTCCACTACACCACTGTTGTCTGTATAGAACCAGAATTGGTAATGTAAACTGTTTCATCAAGAAGCTACTGGTTTCTATTTCTAGTTACTTTAGACATTCTCACGACTGCTCACTACGGCGGGAAATTCAAACATGTGTGTTACTCTCCCCTGTTGTACAGGGCATGTGTGGAGGTATTACCAAAGACTGCATTATTTCTTTTACTGCGAATTATCTACTTCGACTTAAAGCACTACCGCTGTAACAAGAAGATTTGTGTTCTAGTAGCGTTTAGACTAATATTTAGGAGGGGCTTGGTTAATATTGAGGGAGCTTTTACTCAGGTTCTACTCAGTTGTTTCAGTATTGGTGGTATGCAGTAGAGTGGTCGAGGTACTATGCTACAAGCAGGAAGATCATGGGTTTGACTCTAATGTCACTGAATTCTTCAAATGACCTAAATCTTCCAGCCACACTATGGCCCTGGGGTCAACTCAACCTCTAACAGAAATGAGTACCAGCAATATTCCTGGTGGGTAAAGGGAGACCAACATGTAAGCTTGGCAACCTCACCAATATCTGTAAGCAGACTGCCTAGAAAATGTGGGAGTCTTGACATTTCACGGCACTATGGGCCTCCATGGCCTGTTACAGGGGTACCTTTATTTTACTTATCTCAGAATTACAACTTTTGGATCAAAATAAAACCAATTAATAAGTATTAACAAGTCATTCAAAATCACTGGGGTTTTGGACTTTGTCCATCATCTGGTATTCTACAAACTACAGAACACTAGTATAGTGATTGAGGTTAGTTCTTTCTAAGAGACCCAAAACAGTAAGTGTCTACCCTCTCACATGATGACCGAAACAGATCCAGTTTCCAAAATCTAGTTTCTATAGTTTTTAGAATACTGGATGCTGGACCAAGTCCAGAAACCCAGCAATTCTGAATGTTATTATACACCATCGATACAACCATACACATAAATAAGATACAGAGATTCAATAATGTATTCACATGCTTCTTAAAAATATGTTATGTACATCATTGGTTGCTGACTGCTTCAACAGAATGCAGCTACAGCAGATAAAGGCAAAGCAGAAACATCAATTACAAGGTAATTCAAAGCTCTAGAATTAATGAAGTTCTTGGGGAGATCAATTACAGCTGAAAATGTAAATGTTTTTTTTTGTCCTTTCTCCAGATTCACCGCTGTTAAGGAGTCAGTCTGTATTATTATGACTGTCAATTTTTACAAAAATTTAAATAATTCTTTTTAACATAATGTGTCACCTGATCACCTTGTTTGCAGCTGAAGAAAGAAAGACTGCAAACTCTGTCCTCTGTATAATTTTAAAATTGTCACTTGAGAATACTTCTTTTTGAGTAAATTATGTTTTGTGGTGTAACCTGTAAGAGCACTGACTGCACATGTCCTCCCTCCTTTTGAACATGCACACCTCACAACAATGTAAAGTTCAGCTCCTGGCAGCAACCAGAAGTCTAGGTAGATTCTTAATGCCTACAGCAGCCACCTCAACAGGATTAATTAATTAGCTTGTCTTGATTCCAAACTTCCATGGCATAAATCTTGNGAGAACACGGAGGCCATGCGACCCACACCCAATCCATCTCTCCAGAAAGTTGTTGCCCAGCCAACTGTGCAGCACTCAATATGCAAAATGTGGAGTGGCACTGTTATGCTAAAACCACATGCTCTTGTGCACATGTACAAGCATATTCTCCTATAAAAGTGGAAGTGTTTCTTCAAGAAAATCAGAGTAATGCACTCCACTGAGAAAATCCTATATCACATATAGTCTGAATATATAATAATCTATGATTCTGGCCCAGACACTGACACTAAATGAGGAGCGATGAGTAGCAAGAGGATTCTCCATTGCCCATAAATACAAGTTGTATGGAGTGCACGCATTTCTTGTAAATACCGCGTTAACAGTCTGTAATATATAGCATACTAACCGAGGGGTGCAACCCTTGTACTGATTGTACATTGCAAGGGTACAATTGATTCTCACGCAAAGGCATTCTGAATCTGACAAGTGCTGGTTGATGCACATCTTCCATGATGAACGCACGCATGCAGCATGAGAGTCTGTTTCCCTCAGATTATGATGCAGCACTTCAACTTCCATTCCAGATATTCCCTCAGTGCAGAAAAAAAATCCACTGCAAAAGCCATACTAAACATTTTTCTGGGTGCCACTGTTCTTGTTATCATCACTACTGTCCAAGTCTGTTTGCTTTTCTTCAGCTATCTACTGTCAACATCTCTCAGCATTGACCCCACCCCACCACCAAACAATCACAATAATACAAATCACTGTAAACATGTCATAAACCTGACACAGATGCAAATTGGGGGGGTGGTATTTACACTTTGAGCTCCAATTAATCTTCCTAACAACCTCCGTAAGTACTGTATCATGTCTCTAAATTACTCTGCTACAGAAATCATTAGCACACAATCAGCTATCACTATCTAAAGCAGAACTTTTGGTTGGTTTCTTATCATGGGAATTCCCTTTCCGTTTGGTAAGGTTTCGTCTTTTAGTTTCTTGCATCTTCTTCTTCTGCCTGCTCTGCTGTCCTTGGGCAGTGCGGAAGGTAATGCACTATCGACATGTTAAAAAAGAAGAGATTAAATACATCAACAGTGATCAAAGGAGTGCTGATCAGCAGAGGGTACCTACAGCTTAGCCTGAGCTTCAAACACTGGGAAGAGTGGGGAACGGTATCCTTCACACACGGGTAAAGGTGAGAGTTTCAAGTTGTGAGCGGAAAAATCTGCAAACTAGATGAGCCACTAGAAAGGTCCAAGAAAATTTCGAGGGATACACAATCCACTTGTCCACAGTTATGATGTTCATTTACCAGGTAAAACATAAGTACTGTATGATAAACATGGATCATTCTAATAGACATCAAAATGGAGGTCATCTGAAGTAAATACTCAGAAGCAGCAGCAGTAACAAATCAAAACTGTATTCATACACAAACTAACCCCATTCATGCTAGAATATAAACTCCTAGGTGCTTTCCATAGCCTAAGTTACTTAAGCCCTTTAAATGCTGTCTGTGATGCATTGTTTTGATAAAAAGTTAACATTTCAGCTATTTTTTATTCAAAATTTATAAAACAAAACAGCAGATGAAAAAGCATTGATCATTTACCTTACATGCCTTCCATCCCATTTTATATTAAAATTATGCTTTGTGTAACTTATGAAATACTCACCTGTCACTTGTTTCTGATGCACGTTAGGGTTTTGTGAAATAATTCACACTTTTCAAAAGTACGAGTACACACTGAAAAATATTGCATAAAAATATAAAAAGGAATCTTTTGTGAAGTGTAACACTGTCTGGAAAGCTATACTGAATGCTTTGCATCACCACTCTGTACATCTAGTGCTGACCTCTGTTTAGTCTCACTTCCATGTGGAAGTTTATTGATGGGGATGAAGGTCACTTGCAAGTTGCCTGTGTTACTGATAACAGAAAACTGACACCAGTACGATTATCATGGAGGTTCGATCTGCGTTCTCCAAATTGTGTTTCGATTCTTTTTTCAGTCGCTGAGGGCATACAGCCTCCTTGTTGCAACAGTAATGTAAGATTTTGTTGGGATGTTGCAATGAGATTTTCAGTTTGGTTTAATATTATTATTTGTTTCAGCTCACTAATGACCCCTTTAATGTTACTGTATGATCAGATAATGGGGTAAGTAACATTGCAATCTAGGTTGTCTTGTGATGTTAACATGGCTTTTGGTGATTTTCTAGGTTTGGGGTAGGCAGATGGCCCCAAGGGATTATTTTATGTTATCTGGTTTTCTGTCTGGGCTGACCAAGGTGGTCAAGGTCATAATTTTGCATCTGTTGCAAAGGCTTATTCATGGTCAGAGTTACTATTATTGTCATTGTGGTATGTCATGAATTTATGTTTTATTCTTATTAAACATTTGTTCTTTTTGAGATTCTGCATTGCTTGCTGAATGCTTAAGCTTGGACACCCAATTTCATCTGTGGAGAACTGTGAACATGACAATGGAACCAGGGATGAATGCAGCTACCATCCCAAAGCAGAGAGTAGGTACACGAGGGGAGGAGCTGCTAAGACTTCCAGAAAACCATCCTCCTGAAGTCATTCAATGTTGAAAACAACAATAAAGATTATTTATACTATGTACACTTCTTTGTTTTCTGTCTTTCCAAAACTTTTTCTGTGTGTGGTACTGCTTCAGACAGGAAACCACACACAGTCTAACATCACATTCACTGCATATGTAACTGCTCTCTTTCCTCTTCCTCCAGTTTATGGCAGAAGGTGTACACATATGACACTTCCTCATTATGTTCTTTAGGCAAGGAGGCTAGACATATAATCTGGAAGAGAGGGCTGTTAGATGGCAAGGAATTTTATCCCCATAACGTTTTCCCCCCCCCCCCCACACACACACAAACACAAAAAGTCTCGCAATTTCAGCAATTTCAACACGATCTGTAAGTTCACAAAATTTCACTGAAATTGGGCTGCCAGTTAAAGATTTACCTTCTTATGTGATTCAACATGGAATTACCCCAGTATCAATATTCTGCTAATAGATTTAGAGGGATGGCAAGGTGTTTACTATTAAAAATCCAGATCTGGCATACTCGTACCTTTGTAGTCCAGGAACAGCAACTTCAGATCTCCCATTTCTGAAGGTTCTGTGACCATATTTTAATTACAAAATGGTCTAGTATTTAAAAAATGCAACATGCGGCTAGACACACTACACTTATACACCAGTGAATGCTTGGCCAGGTGGTGTGTGTGCAAACTCTATCACAATATTGTAACACAAGACCAGTAACTGTTAAATGGCATGTAGTGTTTGGAGAGTTCTGCCACCTGGGATATGCACTGTGTAGTCCACTGAAAGCCAACTGATGCTTCAGAGGAACACAGCATGAAGCAGGCAGAAAGCCAAAGGTTTGATTCATGTTTGGCTTACACATAACCCCTAGAATAGAGGTGACATGCTCCTCCAAAATGTTAGTCAACAGACTATATAGGGTTATGTTTCAGAGTACAGAACTCTTCGTAACCTCAGATCCTATATAATGTAGTATTTGATCCCACACCTGTTCATCCAGATAATCCATGAGTTCATTCATCTTCAATTTCAAGTTGTTTGCTTTTAAGTTGGCATGTAACTGTTCCAACAAAACTGGTTCATATAGCAGCACTTTCTGGTGAAGATTAGGATCATCTGTGATAAAACTGTGGACTGCTGCTGCCAAATTTGGTGTTGGTTGAACTGCAAAAATAAATATGTAAATCTTAAAACTTGAAAATATTACACAGTAAAATGCATAGAAATTGCTGAACTAGATCTTAACTAGCCCCTCGGAGAAGAGTTCTTCTTAAGAAAAGTTGCTCAGTTTCTCTGGATATCCCATGCAATTTTTCTGGAACCCAAATATTTATTAATGTGTTCACAACAGCTCACTATCGCCCCCTATCCTGAACCAAATGAATCTGGTTCACTTTCCCATCCCATTTCTCCAACATCCATTTTAATATTATGTTCCCATCTACACATAAGTCTTCAGCATGGTTTCTTTCCTTTAGGTTTCTCCACCAAAACTGTATCTTCTCCCTCCTGCAGGATAGACTCCCTACATAACAGCATCCCCCTACCCGAACTGGTGACCAAGGCTCTCCTCATCCAACATGTTATCCAAGGAGTCATTTGTTTCAACTCCCAGGCTGAACTGAGGGATGTGGGCTTCTTGACAAGTACAAGATCAGAAATGAAGGGTGTGACCTTACGCCCTTCTACCAAAAGTGGCTTGCTTTTTTACACTCATTTCTGATTCTGTACATTATCATATCATTGATGAGGGCTAAAGGACTTATGGTTAAGTATTATTACTAAGAATTACAAACCATCCTGTGATAAAGGAATGTCTCCGTGGCTGCAAACACCAAGCTCCTCAAAAAATGCCTCTTCTCTAACACTCATGGCACTACTTGATGAGCTGGAATTCAACAGAAGTGGCACATGTTAATTTTAAAAAGCAACAGTATCAGTTTTGCAATGTTCCAAGAAAATTAATTTCTTTCTTCTCCTTCACATAGGGAATGCGATGCTGCCAACAGGAACACAAATATAACTGCATTGCGAATAACTGTTGTACCCTCACGAGTGCTTGTAATAACAAACTTTAACTGCAGGCACATTTACCTTCTCTGTGATGACAGCAAGTCATCGGAATCAGAATCTGCACCACTTTGAAATGCTGTACTTCTTTCTTGTCTAACTAGATTTCCTCTGTGACAACAATCTTCTGATCTCATCAGTGGACTTCTTGATGTCCCTAAAACATTAGGTTTTCTGACTGGACTCCTTGGAACTTGGGTATCTGAGCCTGGTTTCTTGAAAGGTGATGATTCTGCTCCTGATTGCTCCAGATCATCCTCTGAATCACTCACTGTGATGTATGGGTGCAACTGATCATATATGTATCTCAGCATCCTCTTAGCTTGTCTCCTCGTCAATGATGGCTTCAGACCATACTTTCTAAGTTCTTTCTGTAAACAAACATAACCACTGCCAAACCAAACCACATCCTCATATTCAGTGCTGTGAGAGCCTCAAATCTCTCTTCTGATCAATTTTTGTCTCAAATCTCTCTTCTGATCAATTTTTGTATTACTTAACAAAGCTGTATCAATTGTAGACATTATGTAACATTAAGCAGGACTGGAAAATGATGGAGGGTGACAGTGGATCTGGCAGAAAATTGCCATGGTCTATCTGTAGACATTCCCCTACAATTTTCCTGGAGAGACTCGGGAATACCATGGACACCTGTAAGGATATCTTATTCCTCAACTAGGTTTCAAATCAAGCTCATCCTGAACACAGGTCATAATCACATTACCACCTCTGAAGATTTCATCAATGACTTACACCTCGATAACAATATTTTCAGTAGAAGCTTCTAGCAGAATTAAACATGTCCAAATACAACGGGCAGCAAATATCTGGGAGCACAAAAAAGTGTGTATTATATCTATGTAAATGTCACACTAACATTGCAATTAATAGGATCAGTGACAATGAGTCAGTCATGAAGATATGTGAAAAGCAGAAGAAATAACTAGCACTTGAAAGTATAGCTTTCTCTACAGACTACATGGATGCTGGTATCCCCATGCACTGTCATAAGATTAACACTGTGGTTCATGGCTCTCATTTTCTCCATGCTTCATATCATCATCTCCACTTTGCATCCACTATTACATTACTAATAACAATGACAATAACCATTTTGTGGAAGTACTTTCTTTTTAAATATGAACTGGGACAGCTCAATCAGACTAGCGATTGACTATGAACTGTATGGCTCCAATCCAGGTGGGGGGGCTCTATGCCCTGGGGTAAATTGACCAGGGCATGAAGCTGACCACTCACCTCCAATTAGTGCTGAGGTCAAAATAATGTGGATCTATACATCCTATCTCCCATATGTCTTCATGGTGTAGTGCTTAATTAGTTAAGCACAGGGACAACTTTTTTTTACTTCTGATAAATTATCAGGAACTCTATTACACGAAGTGGAATTCAAATAATTACACAAATTTACAGAAAAATGTACTGATTATATGGCACAGCAGGTCCATTTCTGGAAAAATTTAAGCAACATGAAATCTGATGTTGTCTCAGTGGTGAATATTAAGACTGTTATCTTCTGGGATGTAATGCCGTGGGGTCTGCTGCCTCCATCAGCAAGGCAAAGTCACTTCCAGCAGATTATCAGACTACGTACATCACAGGGCTGTGGGTGTATAGCTGAGCAGTTAAGGAAAAATTGTAGGAGGCTGCTCTGTTATTTGCTGACACTAGCAGCTTCTCATATGTAAGAATTTGCCATACCTGACACAACAGAATAGGGGAGAATGAAAATTTTAATTAAACAAATCTCAGCATCTGGATACAGTGTATATAGGCCATTAGCTGTAGGAGTGGCGTGAGACTAAACCCCTTGGTACAGCATGTGGCTTCAAATGGGTCCAGAGTACTAGCCCCCTGATGACTGATAGCTGGGAGGGAGAGACATAAGTGACTGGAGGAAAACCTGCCAATCTGTGCACCACAAACATGACACAGACTACCCAAGGATTGATGCTGGGCCACTGCAGCAAGAAGCCAGGGACTATCAGCCTGACTTATGGCAGTCTTACAATGAGTATAATCTCCAATTTAAAAATATATGCTGCTATAGCAGCCAATAATAGGCAGCCTTGTAGTATTTTAACTGTACTAGCCTACCTAAAGGCAAAAAGAAAGGGGGGGAGGGGAAGGAAAGTTATCAGGCTGTGCAGGCCCATAGGGTTTAAGAGGTTGAGGCTCCCATATTTTCTAGACAACTGGCTCACATATGGCATGGTGAGGTTTACAGCTTTATGTGCCAGTCATCCTTTACCCCCAGGAAGATTTCTGGTGCTTATTTCTGTTAGATGCTGAGTTGACCTTAGAGGTCAAAGTGCAGCTGAAAGCATTAGGTCAACTGAATAATCCAATGATATCATCAGGAATCAAACCAGCGACCTATTGGCTTGTAGCATACATGAGGACAGAATTCATGAAAACGTTTTAACATACTTAATCCTGTATGGTTTATTGCTGAGTGGCGCTGGGCACACTACCAACAGACTTGAGACTTGTTACCCTTCACATTAATTTGACTGTCAGCTAATAGTTTTTGTAACCCCAAAGAACTGAAATAACCAACTTCAAGAAACTGTGTAATGTACCAACTTCAAATTGTTTGTATACTAATATCTACCAAGTTCTGGTCAAGAATGTTTGGACTGCATGACCCAACAGTTTTTTTTTTTTTGTATTTGGGAACAACAGTAACAAATCAAAATCTTATTCAGGAGGGAATTAAGAGGAGACTGAATTCAAGTAATGCTTGTTACCATTCAGTCTAGACTCAAGTGTCTATGTATTAAGTCCGTCAATAATTCAACGATCATTACAACATTCACTATGTTGAATGTTGTAATAATAGTTGATTACTGATAGACTTAATACACAGACGTTTGATTAAGGATGTGCAACGGGATGATGAAATACAGAATCAGTCCAGAACCTTTTGTCCTGTTGTCTGATTTCTAACAACATAGAAATTAGAATATACAAAACTATAATTTTCCCTGTGGTTTTATATGGGCATGAGGCTTGGTCTCTGACATTAAGGAAGGAACATAGACTGAGGGTGTTTGAAAATGTGGTGCTGAGGAGAACATCTGGATTGAAGAGGATTAAGTGATAGGAGGTTTGAGGAAACTCCACAACTAGGAGCTTCACAACTCATACTCTTTGCCAAGTATAATTAGAATCACAAAGTCAAGGAAGATGAGATGGGCAGGGCATGTAGCATGTGTGAGGAAGACTAGAAATGCATATAGGATTTTGGTAGGAAAGCATGAAAGAAAGAGACCACTACGAAGACCTAGACATATGTGCAAGAATAACAATAAGATGAATCTTAGGGAGATAAGATGGGGTGGTATGAACTGGATTGCTGTGGCTCAGGATTGGGACCAGTGGATGGCTCTTGTGAACACGGTAATGAACCATAAATTCTGGGAAAACCTTGAGTAGCTGCACAACTAGTGACTTCTCAAGAAGGGCTCAGCTTCATGGAGTTACTGGTCCATCTGATGCTGACAGCAGCTGAAAGTGAATAATGGATTATAAAGGAGTTGAAGTGATCATAGCCTATTTAGCTACTATACCAGCATCTACCTGGAGGGACTGAGAAATACCACAGCAAACCTTAGTCAGACTAGCTGGTGATCAACTCAGGATTCAAATCCAGCATCTCCTGCTTACCAGCCTAGAGCATCAATGTTATACTGACCTGCGAGGCACAAACCCTTCAAAGTCTGAAATTTATGTAAGCAACATTAAGAATTCAATTTGTAACTCCCAGAAGACATACATATCCGATACAGAGACCAACCTGTCTATAATGAGCAAAGAAATGACTGTTTGATCTCACAATAATATGAAGCCCAAAAATATACTGGGTAGACAAAATGCAAAGCTTTTTAATGTTAAAATGGTTGGTACATATAGTAACATCTAGGTTAAGTGCTTGCCACACTTAATGGAGCAGGATGTACTAAAGTTAAACATTCCCTGCAATTTTGACAGGAATCATTTTTCATTCCAGAGTAAAACCTTGCTAATCCAGTCACACTTAATCTGGACTGAAATATGAAAAATGCTGTTCAAAGTTGAGTACATATGTTAAAAGACACATGGCATTTAGGAAGACAGACAAGTCACTTGTCTGTTCAGGCAAAACGTGACAGTTTCTCCAAACCTGCATTATTATGTTAAAAACCAAGTACAACTTCGGGTCTTCTACCAATGAATAAATGTACTGTCTTTTTACAGTTTTTAAGTAAAGCCTCTAGAACAATATTTAGAGAGCTGGGATAGCGCAGTCGGTATAGAGACTGCCTATGGGCTGGACAACTGAGGGGTCAGAGATCGAGTCCGTGTAGGGTGATGAATTTTCTTTTCAAGAAGTCATCCAGACCAGCTCTGAGGCCTACCCAGCCTACCTAATGGGTACAGGGAGTTCTTTCCCTCGGCGTAAAGCGGCTGGGGCGTGAAGCTGACCACTCACTTCCAACTAATGCCAAGATCAAGAAAATGTGGCTATATACATCGACTCCCCCATACATGGTCATGGCATACTACTTAATTAGTTAAGCAGCAGTACAACTTTGCTTTCTTTTACAGTGATAATTTTTATTTATTTTCATCAACATTACTTACATCATTAAATTTTCCATTTATTTGTGTTCTATGTTTTTTGTTTTTAATGGCTACCTTTTGCTTCATCAATCCAGATTAGCAAGGGTTTGTTGTATGTCTATATGAAAGTACAATGCAACTTACCATCAAACTATATATCGTTTATTTCTTTATGCTGCTTACCTACTGGGCTTTTAACAATATGTCATCTACATCAGGAAATTAATTACATAACCTTAGATGGTAACTTGTACATCTTACTTAAGTTCCCGGTAATACACTGAAAGGTTAACATACTGAAGCACAGAAATTACATTGGTCTGGTAGCATGAGCATACAGAGAATTTAAACAGTGTTGCAAAGGATTATGTGTCATCATTTGGGCTCACTTTCCCTTAGCTACTTTATCCTGTATCTGCCTTCTGTGTGTGGAACAGTTTTACTCTTTGGTGATCAGCAAATATCATATTCTCACAAGAGTATTAAGCTCTTCATCTTGTAATATAACACACTGTGATTTGAAACATATACATGAACACTTCAGAGGAACACAGTGCTTCTCCATCTTCATGCAAAAGTAGTGCACCTTCTACCCTGAAGATCAAGGCAGCGTGCATCACTGAAACACTAATACCCATCTCCAACACTACACATTCCATTGAGATTGTATCTTATATTTTAACTTATTCTTTATTAAACAAAGCCTCTTGATGAAACTACTGGTATAAGAAATTAAGAATGCCAAAAAGTCATACCAAAAGTGAATGTATACCTTCAGCTGTGGTGTCTTCATCGCTGTATAGTCCGCAGGTGGTGTGACTTTGTCTGAGAAGATAACGTCAGTTTGATTCTGGACTGGTGTTCTGTGGTTTACAGTCTTACTATGGTTTGACAGAGATTCTGCCGGTGTTCGTGCATTTTCATCCCTCCAAAATACAGATTCACTTAACGGGGCCAAAAAGGAATTCTCAAGCACAGCGTTCACTTTATGACTCCTCTTGCCATGAGACAGAGATGGTGGCTCTTTTACATTCTCTGAAATGTTTTTGCCTTTTCTAACTGGAGAGCCAGTACATGACGATGAATGATTTGTTACAGATCCCTGAATCTGAGATTCTGGATGAGAAGATGACAAGCACAGGCTTCTCCTGTTACTGTGTCGTAAAATCGTATGCTTATTTGAAGAGATGCTCAATTCCAGAGGCTTTTGGGATGTGGTCTGAGTTGAAATCAATTGTGGCAGACACTGGGAAAATATGTGTGGCACTGAAGCATTACACATTTCATCAAATTTGTCCCAGTCATCAAGGTTTTGCATGTTATCATCAGATTTCATGCATCCATCATCCTCTGCATTTTCTCCCTTTTGTTTTACTGTTGTTGCATTATCCTCAACTGTAGTTTCTCTGCTGTTATCATTAGCATGACTTGTACTATTCTCCTTTGACTTCTTGAACAAATCACTAAAAACTGTGAACTCTGGACATTCTTTCATGGCATGTGTGGAACTGTGTTCGGTTGCCATGTTTGTGTCCACTACAGTTTTTTGAACTGGGGAACTTAACATCAACTCTTGAGGTTCAGCGGATTCTGAAGAGCTACTCTGGGTCATATCCAATGTTGCTCTAACTTCATTTTCAGATTTCATCAATTTGTCAGATTCCTCGTTGCATTCTGTCTTATCAGAGAATGTTTCAATTATTTCATCCTTAGTACTGCTTTGGCATATCCTCTTGACAGAAGATCTACAGTGATCACTTACAGCATCAATTTCTGGATGCTTTCTTTTTGTGTCCATTCTTTGCTTTATTTCTCTCTGCACATACACACTGCTGGTTCCAGGATCAGAATCTGATAATAAATGTTCAAGAAAATCAATGCCATCAAAATCTGAATCAACTTTCACAGTTTTCTCCCAAGAGTCCTGTAATGGAACACACACACTATAAACTTGTGACTCTGATAATGTTGGGGAATTTTCAGAATTTTCATCTAATAGATTTCTTTGGCCTTTGATCTTCCTTGGAGAACAGCTGGCTACACTGTCTGACATGCATGTGTGATCTGGCACCAATATGGATGGAAGGAGATCACATTTATTCTCAATGTCATCAACATTTTCTACATGTACCATACCTTTACCAGAGGTCACACATTTATCGTCATGTGACTGTGATGAAGAACTAATCTGTAAGTCATCAGGTATGCATACATCATCATTAATGCATGTAACATTCTTCTGAAGAGTCAGAGATGTACCAACACCTCTCATGGTTAGAGACAGCTTATCCAGTGGGCTCAATACAGAGGTGATCTGGGTATCACTTAGCGCCAGTTTATCTGAAGACATAGGTGTAAACTTGGTCTTGGTGTTATACTGTGACAGCTTATCTGATGACATCAGTGCAGAGTTGATTTGGGAATTACTTTGTTTCAGTTTATCTGACATCAGTGTAGAGCTGATTTGGGCATTACTTTGTGCCAGCTTATCTGATGACATCAGCAAAGAGCTGTTCTGGGCGTTATTTTGTGATAATGATGGTTTACCAAGCATACTTAAAAGGCAGTCCATGCTATTCCTACCTTCTTGTGATACTGGTTTTACATGAGGTTCCTCCAGATCATCAATAAACAGGTCTGGAGACAAACTGCCACTGCTACAGGGCCTTGATTCAGCAGAATCATGAAATTCATTCTTTGTCCCTGAATTTGTACTTTTCTTGGTTAATTCTGCAGCAAGATTGAGGAACTGAAACGTATCCTTAGAATGAATTTCTTTTTTGGGCGAGCTTGCAGCTTGAGAGCTGGCACTCGTGTCAGATGAACAAGATGCATGAAGGGCACTCTGTTTCTTACAGTAAGATGCATTGTGACATGGTGACAAGTTTAGAGAAGCATCTTTGCTCTTATTTACTTGGCCTTTTCCACTCTTTACACTTTTTAAATAGTGCAAAAGTTCACTGACACGATACCTTTCAGACAGCTTCTTCACACTCAACAAATCTTCTTCATGGAGATGTAGAAGCTTACTGGTAAGGCCACAGTACAAAAACTGAAGGAATGCCAGTGCTGCCTTGTAAGACACATCAACCCACAACAACATGTCTAAGGTTTCCTTGTTGGCTTTAGAAGATACCTCAGAAACAACATCCTGCAAAACAGCTTTACAGCGTACATATAGCACCAATTTATGTGCTGGAATCTCCATTTCTTTTTCAACATAAATTATTATGTCACTCATGGCTTTCTTATTTAAAAATGATTTCCAGTTATTGATAAGTGTTCTTGCAAGACTGTTATCAATACTCCTATCTGTCATAGGGCCCACAAAACTCTGTCTAGTCTTTGTCTCCCTCAGTTTTGCTGTTTCTGTGTCCCTGCTGGGACTTGCTTCCATCTGTGAAAGTGTTACTCTTCTAACTGGTGAACTAGTGTCTTCCTCAGCAGCCATAATGTGGGATTTTCTTTCCTGTAAATAATACCAAATGTGTAAAAGAGGGTAGAGAGGTGCAGCCTAGTGAAGTAAATAATTTTTTGGAAGTGGATTCTTTGATAATTTTTATATCCCATTTGCCTTGACGGAATTTATTACAGGTATAAAGCAAATTACACTGCAAAAAATCGGAAACTATTTGCTCCTTCATTTCATAAAACCTTTAGATTGAAGTTCATCTAAATATCACTTAAAAATTAAGTTTTTATTACAAAGAGAACTGATTAATTCTGTTTAGAGAAATAATCACTGTTTATTCTAAGAATCATACAGAACATATAAATAGTGTTCTCAAACCTTATATCATATGGTGCATACAGTTACAGCACAGTCATGAGTGTGCTATAACCACTTCAGAGATGAATTATAATTCAGTTTATATTATCTAACACATGAAACACTGCTACTGCTCCCACAGAGCACTTCTTAGAAACATGAGAATGACATGCAGTAGCTGTCCTGCAGCCTAGAGGAACACCAGGTCACAACAAATGTAGCACTGCACTGAGCCTGAAAGTTCTTTGAGATATACCAAGTGCGAACAGAGAATGAATCATGGAACAGTTCTGGGAATACAACTGCAGTGGCTAAAGAGTTAAAATACCAATGCTGAAAGTTGTTTAAAATGAAAGCTGTACCTCTTCATGTGATACTTCTTTGTTCTGTATATAATCTTTTGCATGGGGTCCTGTGGTAGCATAGTTGGTTGTGGCTCTATGCTACAAGCCAGATGGTAGCAGGTTCGATTCCTAATGTGGTCATAGGATTTTTCAATTTGCCTGATCCTTCCAGGCGCACTATGGCTCTGGGGTCTACTCAGTCTCTAACAGAAATGAGTACCAGGAATCTTCCTGGGGACAAAGGGCAGCCAATGCATAAGTCTGAAAACTTTACCACCATCTGTGAGCCAAGTGTCTAGAAAATGTGGGAGCCTCAATGTCTCATAAATGCATGGGCCTCCATGGCCAGTTATAGGGAGAATTCTTTTATATAATTTTTGTATAATGAGCTACTTTTCAGAAAAATGGCAGGGGCAGGACAACACTGGCTAAGCTGGGCTAATATATATCATTACTGACCTCTACCGGCCAAATATAATCTCCCATTATATGGCACTGGCAAAAGAACTTAAAATGAAAGTAATGGGATGTTTTATATTGTAGAAAATGTGATAACCTCCTGCAGTCTACTGAGCCAACATATGCACCGGCATAGCAATATAACCCTTGGAAAACAGAACTTCACTTCATCTAACACCCTTTATTGTAGGCTCATAAAAAGAACACTTTTAAATGTTTTACATGCTCAGATAGAATGACAAGTAGTAGTACTGGACTTCTGTGTCTGGTCAGGTCACACGCTGCCTTCCAGCAAAGTTGTGACCTTTCACTTAATCTCTCAAGATTGGTCAGTTCATACATGTCACCCTGGATCTATCAAGTCTGCATCTATCTATGGCCCTATAGCCCTTGTGTACTTTGGTGGCCTTTTCAGTTTCTTAATCCATACAGTCAGTAGGCCTCCTTGGACAGGGGATTAGCCTGTCACAGGCTGCTACCTACACACACAACACAAACACAGAATACACACACACAGACATCCATGCCTCAAGTGAGATTCAAACCCATGATCCCAGTGTTCAAGCAAACGAAGTCAATTCATGCCTGAGACTGTGCAGCCACTGTGACTGGCATCAGATGTCACAAGAGTTAAGCAGTGCTTGACATACCTATCATTAGGTGTAACAAATATGTGTGATTAACATTTGTGTTCATTTTGGTAGAACGAAAATAGAAAATTTTGAAACAATGACTTGGCATTCTATCAGAATAGTGCATCAGTGGAATATAGTAGTCTCGTAGGGGTTTGAATGAACTGAAGATTTCTGCAGACAATGTTGTCATGTATAATCACAGTGTACTGGGGATTCAAAATGAATAGGAATGCTCTCACTGTACGCAAAGTAAATCCAAAAGAATACTGCACATGCAACAAGGAACAGATTACCCAAGCTTACCGGAGTTTTAATCCATCCTGGGATTTGGGACAGATGCTTCAGCTTCGCACCAACTGGTACTCTGTGAGGGGATATGAACTTGGTGAGCTCCTTCACATAGTACGACTGAAACTCATTTTCTGGGCATGAAACTGAGCCCATATTCCATAATGTGCATGACTGTGATACAAACAGAACACACAACTGTCACTGGTTTTCAGACTGAAAGTAAATTACTAAGTATTTGCACTGTGGTCTTCAGTGGCATGGCGCCATAAAGTCTCGTAGGTAGGCGCACAGTAAATTCTTCACGGGGGGGGNAAGGTATCAAAATGTGGAAGTTTTATATAAGTAATATTTATACAAACTTTTAATTAAAAGGCAATGTTCAATTATTTTTTGTTCACTACATGGTTTAAACCACCTCAAGGTCATTAAGTGAATCAACTATTTAATTTTACTTACTTACTTACTTAATCTGTTCCTCTTATACCTTCACCATGACAAGGTTTTTTTTTTCCATTTTGATCATTTTACAGATGGTAGGACTCCTTGGACAAGTGATCAGCTCATCACAAGGCTTCTACCTAAACACATACACACATCCGTGCTGTGTAGGATTCGAACCCAGGATCTTGGCTTCCGAGTGAGCAAAGACAGTACATGCCTCAGACCGCTCGGCTACTGTAACTGGCTGTAACACACATTTAATGCAACTGTCATGGACACTCTGGTCAAGATCACAACACTGCTTATATAGTGATTAACAGCCTTGCAAACCTACAAGATATCCCTTGCTATGGCAACTCACTTAGTGGCACTTTCATGCTACCCTATATTTTAACACTGTCAGGAAAAGAGATAACAGAGAGAGCTCTGTCTGGATGGACAGGGTTCAATTCATAGAGGACGTCAGAGGCACACCCACAATCATGCTCAGTTCTTACTAGGACCTCTTTCCTGAAGAATACAGCAACTAAACCAATAAATTGCACTTACCTTATTCTGGTACTTCCGCAAGCTTTCGGTTGTATTAACGTCCTGTGTGTTATGCAAAATGTTCACTGCCACAGATGGTGTACTGTTCTCCTCTCCCATAAGTACGAGTGCAACCTTTTCTGTTAGAAGCCTTTCCCTCTCTTCTTTTGTTCTGCTCAACAGCAATGGGTTGCTATTCTTGCTCTTCTTAGCTGAAATGTTTTGGGATTACACATCAGCAATGGGCAGCTGTTCTTGCTCTTGTTAGCTGAAATATGAAACTATCTTTATTCTTTGCATCCTGTTGTGTTAATGAAATATGGTGGCTGTCTACACAACAGTTTACTTAATAAAAACAAAGAGACCAAAGTTTCAGTATTCACATACTGTGGTTACACTGTACCACTACATATTTTGACCCTGACAGATGATCATCACATGGATTCAAACCCAATAAATATAATAGAGTCACTGAACTACAAGTTACGGTTAAAATTAATTTCTACAATGGAGTTATGGTTTGATTTTTATAAGTATATAATTTACATTCAGATCCTTGTAGACTGAAATGCATTTCTCTTAGATCATAAAAGTAGCAGCTCACCAAGTTATAGCCCACAAAGTCCATGTTATGAACACCACATTCCCTAATACTTACATTATATTGTGACAAATATGGCTGTTGCTAGACAGTGGTGCAGTAACCACATTTCCGAGGTTATACAGTCAACAGCAGGTCCTTCGTTACTTAGTAGCTGGTCACTAGGCACATTTTGTAGCAACAGACAAAACACAAAAATAACAGAATGACAACTAATTGTTCATGGTAGTGACCTCTATTCAGATCTCCAGAAGTTATAAAGGGGGCGACACGTGAGACCGCTCAGCAGAATTCATTCGGGAGAGATTCTTCATTTGTCAGCTGTCACAGTGGCAGAGAAGACACTCGTAGTCCAGTAAGGAATGGAGCAAGTTTCAGACAGGCATTGATTGTGAGCCGTTGTAATTGCAAGTAATTGTAAAAGAAGTGCCAATAAATCCAATCATCCAATCCAGCAGCCATTATTATTAGTCATGGAACCCAGAATGTGTAACGATATCCAAATCATGTAGACAACATATGAAAAAACAGAAATAGTGACATATGTTCGTTTAAATTCAAGCAGAGTTGAAGACAAATATGACCTTACCAGATTTGTGTCTTAAACTGGAGGGAACCTGGATTGCTGAACGTGAACTCCTGAAGCCAAACCTCTCCAATATTTGTTTCTGTTGTACCACAACCTCATGACCAAGACCAGCCTCCAGTAAACAGTTTTCTTCTTGAAGCTGCTCACGTTCCTCTGCCTCTTGCAGTGATGCTGACAAAGCCAGTGCCAGCTGTAGGTTACTGTCACTGCCATTCTGCCCACTCTGAAGCAACAGAATTGCATCTTGTGTATTGGGACTGCCCACATATTATTTTGCTCCATTAAATCTGGAATCACTGAATGCAAAATCAGAAATAAGGCCTGCTCGTACAGGTCATATACCTATAAAAGCTATTTTCTAGGACTGTACTAGTGAAAATTAGATTCTCTGATCAATTTCAGAATTCTTGGATTGAAAGTTTATTCATTCAGCTACAGCCCTGACTGATTGTGCTGCTGTCATTACAGTGAAACTAGCATAAGACAACAAATAACTGTGTCTTTCCTTAACTATGCAATGGTTGTAACAAAACATACATGATATTCAAACTAAATATACAGGGTGTCCCAGGAGGAATGTGCCAAACTTCGGGAGGGTGTTCCTTATGTTAAAGTATGCCGATATAACCCAAAACACCTATGTCCAAAGTTGAACGGTTACGGAGATAATGGCCCGAGAAAAGTGTGGTCTTCTAGCGGGTCCACGGATTATACCTATCAGCTGAGAGGAATTATCTCTGTTTGTCCTTGACTGCCGTGATTCATCCTATCCGTGCTTATGGAGTTGGCTTTATCAGAACGCGCAGTCAGCACGTTACGTCATCGCTTACCATTCATGTGTCATGTACAGTGCTTGGAACTCTTAACGACAACTTTGAGATGGCATGCGAGTTTTTTGTACTTCAATTTTATGGCTTCATGTCACTCACAAGTTAGTTTGATGTTACGTACATTATTAACGTTACAGAATCCACATATTCCTGCCAGTTTTAATATCTATTTTGTAATCAACAAGTGTGTAACCCCGGTCAAAGTTTGACACTTCTCTGGCCATTATCTCCGTAACCGTTCAACTTTGGACATAGGTGTTTTGGGTTATATCGGCATACTTTAACATAAGCAACACCCTCCCGAAGTTTGGCACATTCCTCCTGGGACACCCTGTATATTACACATATGCTGAAGAGCACAGTCTGTTTATTAATCAATTAATAGGGGAAGTAAACAAAAAGTAAGGAACCAAGAGAGTCATATATAACCCATCGTTCGTCATGCTTTGGCATTACATGCGACACTGTGCTGTAACTTCTTGCACAACAAGCATTCTTGGACCTATGTTAAGTGGGTCCTTTGTCACCACGACATGATTGATCCTCAAGTTGTGGATGGAGGAGACAGTCTCCAGATATAGAGGGTAGCTGCAAATATAATGAATAAACAGTCACGGGCAACCAACAAGGGGTGGTCCTCTAGCTTGGGGGTTGAACTAACAACTCCTCACCATAAAAAAAAGATTGTTACAAAATGTTATGCAGTGCCTTGGACGTGAATGGATCCTTTGAAATGGTCTAAGCAAAGGAAAATGGACATGCGACTTGTCACAGTGAATGTATGGAGTCTCCACAGGGCAGGTTCATCAACAAACGTTTCACGAGAAACAACAATGTATAAGCTAGTTTATTTGGGAGTAGAGGATATTACAGGGAGCACACGGTAGCGTTGTTAGTTGAGCCAATATGCTACAAGCCGGAAGGTGGCGGGTTTGATTCCCGATGAGGTCTTTGGAATTTTTCAATTGACCTAATCCTTCCAGCTGCACAATGGCCCTGAAGTTGACTCAGCCTCTAACAGAAATGAGTACCAAGAACCTTCCTGGGGGTAAAGGGTTGCTGGCACATAAGGCTGACATCATCATAGCCATCTGTGAGCCCAATGTCCAGAAAATGTGAAAGCTTCAAAGTCTCATGACCCTGTGGTCTTCCACAGCCTGTTACAGGAATAGCTCTACCTTTGTTACCTTTATAGCACATTACATTAGACAGGAGTGGCGTTGAACCAGCAGGTGATTATACAGTTTGGTTACACCAACCTCTGGTGTAGTGACACCTTGGCTACAGCATCAAATATTGAGTGGTACTAAATCCAATCTCTATAAAACATGTGCTTTCCTGCCTCTCAGAAAGACAAATATTGAAAAGCAATTCGTTTATAATGGCGGCATCTGGCACCTTTTTCTCTCTCAACTTCTTTGCATGGATAGAATCAACAGAACTTTTTAAACAATAAAGAAGGACTTAGAGAACTTGAAATTCTCAGTATCCTCGGAAAATGTATGGGAGAAGTACATTCAGCAACAAACATGCTTCAAGAAATATGTACATACTGTGACATAATTATGTAAGCACTGTTTGTTGTGTGGGAACAGCTCAATAAGCAAGCAAGCCATCACTAGCAATGGTTCACGAACACATCAGCGACAACGAATGAACTGTTGGAAACAGTGTTTTCTATGCGGTCCATGCTGTGGCTACGTAGTGGAAGCTGTCAAGGCATCTTGGCCAGTGGCCATCATGAGCCAGCTGCCACTCTTAATCTTCCACTAAAACGGTTACAAATTTCCACATTCTCCTCTAAAACATTTCTACTGTAAAAAGGCCTGAAAGACAATGCACGGGTTCAAGTCTGGGCAATGATCTTGGCTGGATCACTGAATATCCTGAGGTCTTTTGTGGTTTTCCCCAGTCCCTCCAGGCAAATTCTGGGATAGTACCCTAATGACACCATCACTACTTCTAACAACAACCTACTCCTCACTCCCTAACCATCCTGACATCTGACACTCTACAGTTCGAGCTACTGATAACAGCAACAAATAAAATATATCCTTTCAGAATTCTGTGCCTCCTTGTCCCTGGCCAAGAGAAACACTTACAACAAATTAGACACAGCCATATATAAATACATACTCTGAAGGTTCCTAACCTCAAAAAACATGAAACAATATTTCATTGTCCGAGTTTGTTCCCTAATTTATCAAAAATATCAATGAGAATTGAGGTTCTCACAGCAGTTGTCATGAACACTACAGTCTTCCAGGATGTGACGCCATGCAGTGTAGTATATCAGGTATTTATTTCACAAACTACATATCTTAACACGTGTAATGCGGTAGCATAGTGGGTTGAGGCACTATGCTACAAGTTGGAAGGTTGTGGGTTTGTGTTCTGATGAGGTGGATTTTTAATTGACCTCATCCTTTCAGTCCCACTATGGCCCTGGGGTTGACTCAACCACTAAAAGAAATATGTACCAGGAATCTTCCTGGGAGGGGGGGTGCATAAAGCTGGCAACCTCACTGTCATCTGTGAGCTGACTGCCTAGAGAGAAAGTGGGTGCCTTGATGTCTCACAACCGTATGGGCCTTCACGGCCTGTTACAGGGATAGCTTACATTTACCTTTTCTACATCAGACCTCAGAAGACAATACTATAGTGTGTATAGCCATTTCTAGGCAACAACTATGAAACAAACAACAGAACAATGCCCACTGCTAGGCAGCAGAGTCTTAATAATACAACAGCTGTGTTTTCAATGTGGCCCATGCCAAGAGATTATAAGCAAGACAAGGTTTAGAGTTTAGTCAGTTGATAGTCAGATGGTGAAGGGAAGATTAGGAGGTTGATGTGAAATGGCAGCGAGTGAGTTGCAAGAGTGCTGTCAAAAGTCTGACTATACAGAGAACACTTCACGTGTGATATTTGGAGTGTGTAATTCAGTGAGACTTATAGTTCCTGTGCTAGGATCCATTGCCAGGAAACGGCTAGTGGAGACTGCAACAAGCTGTGGACACTGGTCTGTGTGCCAGTGATCTGTACAGGGTAGTCAAGAGACATGAGTGCAAAAGCAGTCAATAAATAAATCTAGTCACCAATCCAAGCCCTGCCTATAGTCACTCATAAATGTGATATTACTGTAAACAGTACTTACTTACTTACTCATGGAGCTGAGCCCTTCTGGAGGAGCCGCCAATTCTGCAGCCACTCAAGAATTTCCCAGCATTTTATGGAACCCAAAGGTTCATTACAGTGTTCACAAGAGCCCTCCACTGGTCCCTATCCTGAGCTAGATCAAGGCAATCCATATCATCAAATCCTATCTCAAAGATCCATTTTAATATTGTCCACCCACTTATGCCTTGGTCTTCAAAGTGGTCTCTTTCTTTCTGGCTTTCCCAGCAATATCCTACACGCATTCCTCATCTCCACCATTTGTGCTACATGCCCTGCCCACCTCATCCTCCTTGACTTGATCATTCTAATTATACTTGGAGAAGAGTACAAGTTATGTAGCTCCTCATTGTGCAGTTTTCTCCAACCTCCTGTCACTTCATCTCTCTTCGGTCCAAATATTCTCAACACTCTGTTCTCAAACACCCTCAGTCTACGTTCCTCCCTTAATGTCAGAGACCAAGTTTCAGCCCCATACAGAACCACAGGCAAAATTATAGATTTGTTTATTCTAATTTTTATGTTTTTGGACAGCAGACGAGAAGACAAAGGGTTCTGCAGTGAATGGTAAAAAGCATTACCCGAGTTCAATCTCCTCTTAATTTCCTCATGAATCAGGTTTCGATCTGTTATTGTTGTTCCCAAATATCTGAACTGTGCCACATTTTCAAAACATCTGTTTCCTATCTTTATGTCATGATTTTTCCTTGCATTTTGGTGACGAGACAGCAACATATACTTAGTCTTCTCTGTGTTTACTTCTAGACCAACCTCTTTACAAGCGTCAATTAAAGTTTGTGTGTTTTTCTTTATGGTATCTACATTTTCACCCCACAGATTTGCATCATTGGCATAGGCCAACAGCTGATGTGTCCCGTTTAATTTCAGTCCCACCTGGTTTCCCTGGACCTTCCTAATGTCATATTCTAAAGCAAAGTTGAAAAGGAGTGGTGATAAAGCATCTCATTGTTTTAAACCATTCTGGATAGGAAATTTATCAAATGTTTAACTACACAGACCTTACTATACATTTCGTTTAAACACACTTTAATCAACCTGACTAGTTTCATGGGTATCTCACACTCTATCAGAATACTGTACAATACTTCCTTCCTAACTGAACCATAGGCTTTCTTGAAGTCTATTAATGGCTATGTACTGTCTCCTTGTATTCCCATTTTTTCTCCAATATCTGACAAATGCAAAAGAATATTGGATGAAATTTTGTATGAAGTTGATAGCAGTGATATCACCCAATAATTACTACAGTCAGTTTTATCACCTTTCTTGTGCACTGGTACAATAATAGACTCCTTCCACTTATCAGGCAATTTTTCCTTATGCCAAATATACGTAATTAGATTGTGGATCTTACAACGTAATATTTCACCTCTTGCTTAGATAAGTTCTGCCACAATTTGATCACTACCTGGTGATTTATACTGTTTCAATTTTGCAATAGCACTTTCAACCTCAAAATGGCTAGGATCAGATACTAATGGCACCAGCTGTATGGAGTTCTGTCTGTCTAGTTAGCTAGTTAGTTATTGGAGAGGGTGGGTTTCCCCATGCACTTAGACCTGTATTGGTCCATTGTGCTTCCCTCTATGATTTCTACCAGTCTCTATATCCTACCGGTACTGGTGCTTACCATCAGTCCCGCCCAGCCAGCGAGACCGGCTCTACTAGCTGAGAGGTATCTATAATGCTTCCCCCATCTACCAGAGGTATTAGAGACTGCTGTTGGGTTTGGAAACGTCTGTAATTTGGCTGTGACCTCCTTTGGAGATATGAGGTTCTTTTACGTGCCATAAAGCTACGACATGGGACCCACGGCTTAAAGTCCCTCCCGGAGGACTTGTTACCTGAATTTTTCTGCCCTTAAAAATTCGACGACCTCTGTCGGGTATTTGAACCCGCGTACTACGAGTCATGAGGTGGGAACATTACCTCTAGACTACGGAGGCCGCTCTGTCTGTCTAACATCACTGACCCTATGTACATTCAATAACTGAGAGAAGTAGTTCCTCCATCTGTTCAAAATGTGGGAATCTGCTAGCAATCACCATTCTTATCCTTCACTAAGTTACTGCTAGGCTGGTAACCCCTCTTAAAGTCATTTATTCCTCTATACATGTCTCTAATGTCCTTCTTCTTACTGTTCATTGCAAGCTCATCACTTTTGTCTTTCAGAAATTCCCTCTTTCTGTTCCTGAAATGCCTGCTGGTTTTGCGTCTTATATTGTTCAGATTGAAGAAAGCAGTCTTCTGGGCTTTGGCGCCGTGTATATGTGGTGTTAACTGACGTTTCGGAGGAACGTATCGCCCCCATCTTCAGGGTTGAAGAAAAAGTATAGGTAAATCTGCAAGCGACAACACCGTGAGACACGGTAACGCAGACGGTCTCACGGTGTTGTCGCTTGCAGATTTACCTATACTTTTTCTTCAACCCTGAAGATGGGGGCGATACGTTCCTCCGAAACGTCGGTTAACACCACATATACACGGCGCCAAAGCCCAGAAGACTGCTTTCTTCATAGTCACCGCCGTGAAAGCCTCAAATCTTACATTGTTCAGATTATCCCCATTTAACTCTCTTGGATCCTGTAACCACTGCAATTTGTTCTGTTTTCTTTGATCTAATAATTTTGAGCATCCTTCATCAAACCATGGCTTATGCTTCTTCAGTTCATAATAACCTAGACTCTCTTTGGCAGACATTTTTATATTCTCTTTAATAGTTTCCCAAGCTTTATTAACATTCTAAACAGTGCAAAATAAAAAAAAAACTGTTACATCAAACTCTGCTAAATTACCTTTTTTGAAGATTGTTTCTTTACAGTATGAGCAGCTGGGATATCTGGAAGACCCAAAGCTTCTCTCTCAGCTGCCTGTCTCTCCTGCAACTCAACAGCATCGAGAAGCTGCCGTGTTGTTACACTGTGCCGCAATGCACACGCCTTTATGTGCAATACCTGTGCTTCATTCTTGTCGGAAGTTTTCCAACACAGTGGACAATGAAACTTTCTCCTTGTGACACCAGCAATAGAAGTATAAACCTCAGGTACACAAGCTGATACACTGTCTGTTGTAAAATTATTTAACTGTCCCAATGACACACATACATTTTTATCAGAGCAATCATTATCATTGGCACTATTTGTGAGGCCACTCCCACATTCCGTTACATCTACAGATTCACGTCTACACTCCTTGACAGGCTCGTCATTTGTAGGAGCTGCAGTCCTTTCAGCATCAGTACCTTGGATTATTTCAATGGTTTTGCTCTGCAATGAAGGTTTATTTGTGTTATTTATGTTGCTCGGCTTCTTATGCATTTGAGATGTTGGCTCTGAATTGCAACATACTATATGGTTCACATTCTGTTCTCCACTGCTGCAGTGTTCAATGGTAATGGAATTGTGTTTATTCAGCTCAAATATCATACAATTTTTTATTGAGCCATCATTATTTGGCTCTACGCTATCTTGCTCACAATGAACAGTTTCCACACATTCTGCCACAAATCTTGATGTGTTTCTGGGCAAACAAAGAAACAAAAGTGAATGCCTGAAAAATTACTACATTTCATATATTGTGACATGTTATCTTATGCCCATCGCCGCGAAAACCACTAAAATCAGAATGCACACTTCCATGGCAACGAACAGGTGGAAATTGTGGAGTTCCCAAAGTGATAAATCATAGCAACAAATTGTTGTTGAGTAACAATGGGAAATATTGCACTTCCTAAGCAATGGACTGTTGAACCAGCAGGAATAATGCACTTCTGCAGTAACAAGTCAGTCTTAAGAGTCGCCATCGAAGGCAGTCTAGTATTCACTGAGATATAGTGGGAGCACTAATTGTGATACTGCAAGTGATAAGAAGTGTAAAGTGTGTGATTGTAGAAGCAAAGCACAATAAATATTCGCTACACCCTTGACAGCATGAAGTTATTTGCCGCGTGGCTTACCCAACACATGACAATATATATAAAAATGAAAATTTCTTGTAAATTTTCTATTTTCAGATACACATCTAATAAAGAACACAATATGATATTTTCAATATATTATGAAATTTACTCTATACTCTTGCCAAGAGGTACGTTACTCATGGCAGTTATAGCTATGTGCAGATATTGCAGCAGAATTTTTAGTTGCAATTTGCAATGAATAAACTTCAATTTCTCAGTTTCAGTGTTATTTTGTGATACCAGCAAAGAAAGCATCCACATCCCAAACAATAAACAGATACTTCCGCTTGAACATTATAAACACTGGAGCTTGTACAGGGAAACAAAAATTCTCTTATACAGGGCACCAACTTAAGAACTAAATAAGCATAAGTTATCGAGAAACATCTGTAAACTGGGTATATTAGTACATAGGCCTAGGTTTATAGCTGTTGCAAATCTGAACACAAAATTTTGCTGCCAAAAAAGCATCTTGTAATAAGATGCTTACACTGAATTCTGAGTTGCATAGCTAAAATTACATGGGCCCTTACAAAGAGAAATACAACCAAAATACACATAATATATACAAAATATATAATTAAGGGAAAACTGGAAGCAAGAGAATTCAAAATAAAGAGTTACAGACAAGTTGGAATTCAGAACTGTTGACAAAGTTACAACAGATGTGGTTGCAATGGTTCTGCTACTAGAGAGGAAAGGATGGGAACGATACATAGTAAGGAATTAGTAGCAAATTCCAAGGGAAAGGGACTTATGGAATGACCCAGAATAAGAAGGTTCACCTAGGTAATCAAAGACATCAAGACGATAGGAATGAAGTGGCAAGAAACTGAATGTGGAAAGACAGAAGGTACTGGAGATTCCTTGTCCATCATTGATGGTTCGAAGAAATCTTCCCCACCCCTCCACATCAGGGCAGAAGGTAGCAGGTACCTCCAAAATGTTGGTAACCACCTACCAGACTAGTACATGGTGTCACACCCCAGAAGACCACTGCCCTACACAGCTGCTGAGAATCTCAAATCTCAACATCTTTCATGGTTTCATTTCAGTTACTTTGCGAATAACAAAACTGACATACTCGAGCTTTGAGAACTTATGCAGTTTACAAAGTGTTTTGTATAGCATCAGCTGCAAGGAATTTAGGCCCATACAACCTATTAATTCCCTTAGATATTTATACCGTCATGTAATATGTGTGACTATACATGGGGTTTGAATTGGTGAATAAATTTACTGACCACAAATAATTATATAACACCATCGCTATTTCCACACTTTACAGTTCACTAGAGCACACAGTCTAGTGTTCTCAGTCTGTTACTAGACGTGGTTGCCTGTTATCAAGATCCCTAATAAGTTCAACTTGGGGCTGGTTGTCTTTCATGCCCATGTCACCTCTGTGGGATTTGAGGTGCCCTGTGGTAAAACTGGGTGACAAAGAAGTGCCTTTATGGTGCCGAGGGAGTAACCACAGTCATTCGCCCATATGAAGGCCAGCAATGAGGTAATATCAGCTTAGTGTGAGAGTATCATGACTGTGTGACTCCCTGCACGTGCCTGACAAACTAGTGGGGCCAAGATGGAAGAATGCCTGCAGAAAATGGATGTACGACATAAGGATGATGGTTCAGTGTCCAAGAGCAGTGCCTGTGAGGATAACTGAAGACTTCTGGGGGGAGGGCATATCAGAGGTACACTCTAGAGGGCCAAGCTGAGGGGTATGTACTTGCTGCAAAGAAGTTGAAAGGTGGGAATGCATGAGCCACTGTGGCTGAACCTGCAGAGTCAGAGCCATACTGTCCTAAGGAAGAAGCAGATGATAATGGCAGCGAGGTGCCAATTCTACAAGGAAGTGAAGGCTGGTTGACATCTGGAATGGAAGGGCACTGATGAATGCAGTTCTCCCTACAAGAGTCAGAGCCTAAAGCACTAGCATTGGTGACAATGGCATCATTCGCACAGGGGGTCACCTCTGATTAGGTAATGATTATACACCCGCAGGAACTAGCATCTTACCAGAAAGCGTCTTGTGGGAAGCAGCCTTAAGGAGGGAGCAAACAACTGTGAATGTATACATAGTTAAGGCAGTTATAGATAAAGGAACTGCTGCCAAAAAATCAATTTCCAATCTGAACCCATAGTTTAGTCATTATCACATGACAATGCTGTATGGACAAAATGCTGAGCTTCCCAGTGTTGAATTAGGTGGCATATACAGTACCCACTAGACTTTCAAAGGGTTGGGTGGCAATAGTGCTGTGCCCGTCTTAGGAGTTTGCATGTTGACGAAGTTGGTGGCGGCATATGAGATATAAAGCTGGCATGACCTCTAGGAGCATGATGTTCAAACCAAGTTACATGAACATTTCAAATGATTAACAATAAGGAGGGGCAGACATGATGACACTGCCTTTCTTTATAGGGATAAAAATGTTCTTGCAAGCCTCTAGGATTCTGATTTACACAGATTACAACTTGCCTTCATGTTTAAAAACTCTGCATTTTTCCCAGAGTGTATTTATGTATTTCACATGATTCTCATAATAAAAAGCAATTACTTGCCTAAATAAGATTAACCAAATGGTCTTTGTAATGGAGATGCAGTGTGGTATCAACTGAACTTTGAAATGTTATTTCGATGAACTTCATGCTTCAAAATGATAAGCTAATTAACTGACCTGGGGATGGCCTAAGTCAGCACTTCCCAACCTTTTGAACTCAGTGGACCTCCTGAGTAATCCTTCCTGTCACTATGGACCATCTTGTTACTGCATTTACCTACTTACATAATCTACAGTTAACAAATGCAGTAACTGGTTGTGATTTTACTTGCCATTTCTAATAAATTACATATGCTTGTATTCATATGGCTTAAAAATAAAGAGAGAAAGAAAGACGCTACCCCACAGAAGCTACATTCAATAGAAAACCACACAGATTACCCATGAAACAAGAATGCACCACAAGTGGTCAGCAGATAACAGTTTAGGAAACACTAGTTTATACAGCCCTTACCATACTTAAATGCCCCTCAGTGACTGTGAAACTATTTTCCTGTGAGAAAGTGGCTTTCCCTCTCCCTATATATATATATGTATATAATCCTATCCTGACTATTCAAGGAGGCATTATTTCTCTAACCTTTCTTTCTGGGGAAATGGTAAAATCTGAGTCAGATATTATACAGCCATGACATCACCTGTTTTTTTCAGCCACCTTGCACATACCAATAAATAGAACAAAACAAAGATCACTACCTTCTGTAATAAGAAGATACAGGACTATACAGAGCAGAATCACATTTCTTCTTGCAATGAAGCTTTACCCGATGTTTGCTTGACAACTTGTTTCTTGTTTTAGGATAAGACTGTGAGTTTGGTTTGCTTAGCTGGAAATCATTATCATTACTCTGTTCCATTCTGCATCATAGTTCAAACATGGCGCACAGTTACTTTAGTTTAATCACTCATTCTTTATGAATAATGGACTAACAACTCTAAAGTTATTAACAACACAATCTATATCAATAAGATTTTGAACCCTTTGATTCTTCCATTAGCTTTTTAATGGTTTCTCCTCTCTGCTTAGGTATAACTGACATCAAAGCTTTTCTCTCAAGTTCTTCTTCTGTAGGAGAGAACTTCCCATTTCGTATGGACTGCCGGAGTTTCTGCGCTGGACCAGTGTAACTAGAAAATAAGTTCACATTATTCACATTTCCAGCAACTTACAATAATACAATGTGACATTATATATGAACTCCAAACTCCTAGCAAACATGATACACTGCAATCTCACATAACAAATGAAACATGTTATTATGAATTATAATCACAATATTACAATCCAATGTCACTCACAATAATATTCTGTGTGTGAACAAGCCACATGTTTTGACTACAGTCATCCTCAGGTTCGAAATACGACACAATTTCTTTATGCGAGATGTTACACTTTCAACTTTGTGTCATAACAGAGGTTGAAAGTTAATGAGATAACAAAACTGTTAAAATAATACCATAAAATTACAAAATTTTAGTTGAAATTCGACTGTTGTACTAAAAGTGAAATCTTCAGTTAGCTTTCCTTCAGCAATCCTCTTGTGCTGCCTTACAAATTTTACTCACAGTACAGTCATTTATACTGTCACCACAATGTTCGGCTCATTCAATTAGAAGTGTCAATATGCACAAGAAGGAGACTGTCCACATAGGAACTGAAGAGACACATAATGGTATACAGCTACCAGATCATATGTGACCATAAACTGTTTCGGTCAGTCCGGCCTTTTGAAATATCAAATTACAGTACTGATCCACAAAATAAGGAAATTTCTGCCAAATTCAATTCAGTGTTTATTAAATAATGACCAGGTTCAGCATTTTCATGATGAAATAAAACAAACTGGACCTAGTAGGAGTCACATTTCTGTTACAAAACACATGGACCTCAAGAGATTAGATTCTAGAATTAGAACATATGAGGTTACATGCTCCCTTAACATGAATGCATATTAATGACAATTTGAATGCTTCCATAAAGGTACAGAAGGTATCAATTATTACAATCATGTCTGTAATGTGTATTCTGATATACTGCACAGCAATTCTATATGCTGAAAGTCAACTAACATTTTAGAAGAATATACTGCCTCCATCTTCATGATCAAAGAGTGTGCGAAGCAAGGAACCAGCATGAAGTGAGCAGAGCTCTGCTTGCTGCCTGCTTCATCCTGGTTTTTTGCTTGGCTCACTCTTTGATCCTGAAGATGGAGGCAGTATGTTCCTCCAAAACGTTGGGTGACACTTGCCAGACTACATGGTATTATATCTCAGAAGATGGAACTCTTCAATAATACTTTCGAATGATTGGATTTATTAACAGCTTGGTTACACACACTCTCTTAATTACACTTAAATACAGTGCTATCACTGATTTACACACATTTCATAATTCACTGTTGCATGCACACACACTAGTCCTCTCCTGGCAATGCAATTAAAACACAGGAAACACTTCAGATCACTCCAGATGTCTCTGCACAACAGCACACACAAAGTCTTCTAAATCACACCTGACATTCTCATAGGGTGACCTCCTGTGTTCTTCTACATTCCTGGTTCCACTTCGCTTGCGTCCACCCATAGTTCCACTACTTCTTTTTGTCTGGTTTGGCCCTCGTCTCGTAGCTTTGAATTGGACAGCACAGATCTGTTGCGATCAGCAGTACTGTTATATCACCCAAGCGGCAATGACATCATCCTGGGGCATTGGTAGGAAACATATCAGGTGACGGCCACATACTGTTGTGTGATGTCACAGTGCAGCTGTTGCATAGCAACAGGCCATCTGCAGACGAAGAAAATACTGTTCCCATACTCTTGGCGGTGTGTTGCAGATGTTGTCTGGCAAACGGGTGTACACACCACAATACTATGAACACTGGCTCTGTGCTTTATTTACACAAAGTTTCAGACAACAAAACTCACCTTCCACACACATTCTGTGCAACCTGAAATCATCACGGATGGTGGAACATGCATTCATACTCACACCTGATGTCCAAATTCTTGGCTACATAAGAGACAGTAATGTGTGTTCTCTTGAATCCAACCATTAGCTCATTCAACACTCATTCAAACATACTGAAGGATAAAAAGCAATTTCTCTTCTACTTAGATTTTATAATATATGTAACTTATATACAAAAGAGTAATACACTGTCTAAGCTTCCAATTGCCAAGGCATGCCATAAAACTGCCTGCTTAAAATGTCCGGGCTGAACTGGGGCAAAAGCAGTTGCACTTAAAAATCCACAATCTTCAAACCACACAGAAACAGATCAAGTGAAAGCCTGTTCTTCCCTCCACACATGTCACACCTGACACAATCCATTAGCAGGAGTGTTCTACTAATGAACAATGAGCAGATCTCTTCAGCTGTTGTGGTTAACGTAAGTACCCTAAGCCAATCTAACAGGCTCATGGTATGCAAAGGATTAAATTACAATCAAATTCTGGAAAGGAACAATAGTTTTTAAGTTATACAAAGATATAGCAATGAAAAAGTAAACACCATGTTAATTTATTTTTTACAATTAAGTTTATTTCAGTCCAGTGTGACATATGATGTTTCCACCACTTTAGCACTTAGTTACCCAACATGTTTCGATTCATAATGAATCATCATCAGAGGTATGCCTCTACGATCAGGAATCCACTAATACATAAAAGTTTTTAAGAGTAGAAACACTTAAAACATTTATGACTCTCACAATATAAAGTTGTTGATTTTTGTCGTATAGATGTTGACGTAATTTTTTTTGGTAATAAGAACGTTTTTGAATTGTATTACTTAGAAGTGGCGTAGTTGCAATCACTTCCCCAAGGATAATTAAAAATGTTCCACTGTATTTTATATAAAAAATTCAATTTGTTTCACCACAGCAGCCTTCTTTACATTAAAATTATGTTTATGAGTGTGTGTACAAACTTATTTTAAGATAAGAATTTTATTCGTGAACCAATGTGGGTTGGTTTTATCTTCCTTAGTAGAGGAATTATCACCTATCCCTTGGTGGTGTGTTCTTGTTATTAACGGTGTGGTTTGTAGGCATGCTGTACTGCTTGTGCTGTATTAATAGCAAACATGATCTGTTAATAAGGTCCCACTTATTTCTAGCTAGTAAAAAACCGCTATAAGCACTGTACAATGCATATTTTCACTAATTCATGACATATTGATTAATATTATCAGGTAACTTGTCTGACGGTAATAAAATATCCTCTTCCAAACCAAAGCTACAAAATCACAATACATGCTCAAAAAAGAGCCATGTAAAGACTTATTTCTCTTACTTCCCCTCTCACAGGTAAATAGACCTGTTTACTTGTTCAATCCTTCCACAAATTTGTGTGTAAACTTCCTGTTCAGGAGCCATGAAAGCGTAGTCGGTATGGGAACTGGCTATGGGCTGGACCAATTAAGGGCCTGAGTTCGAGTGCCGGTAGGGTCAAGAATTTTCTTTTCCACGTCGTCCAGACTGGCTCTGGGGTCCACCGACCTCCTATCCAATGGGTACCGGGAGCTCTTTCACGTAGGGTAAAGCGGCCGGGGAGTGAAGGTGACCACTCACATCCAACTAATGCCGAGGTCAAGAAAATGTGGATCTATACATCCACTATCCCATACGCCTTCATGGCGTAGTGCTTAATTAAGTACAGGAACTTTACTTTAACTACGTTCTGTTCACTTCACTCCGAACAGCATGTGGCCCAACACTGGTAGACCTTGCTGAACCATCATCCAAAGCATTTACAGCTACACAGATACCACACTTAAAACAGATTACGAAACTTGTTACACGATTGTAAATGATATTATTCCACAAACATTTGCTTTCACGAAAAAGGTTATGTTTGCAAAATTTCTCCAAGAGAATAACGAATTACATAAGTTTAATTTCACATACTGGAAAATTATTCCATAGATTGCTCCGACAGCAAGAACACCTAATGCGAAGTAATTCCGACTTCTATATGTAACAGTACCCCTAGCACGTCTCGGTTTTCGAACGTTATCCTCCATTCCTCCTCGGTTTCAGCTCCTTTCCGCTTGACCATTCCGTCACAGCCTTCATTACCGTTCATTAGCTCATTACCTTCACCACCGCTATCTCAGAAAATACAGACGATTCTCTTACAACCCATGGCAAGGTTGTCGTGCCTGCTTCCTCGTGGAAGATCGAGAGCGTTATTGAACGATCCGTGTTATTCAATTACACTATAACGGGGTGTACGTTACTGGCTCTTTAAAAAAATGTCGATAACAATAATAAAATATGTGAGCTTGTTTGCTGGCTAATATTCCATGTACAAGGACAGAAATGTAATGGAGAGTTCATAATAACATAAGTCCCACCCCAATATCGTAGCATTGAGACGGCCAGCATTTTCCTGGGAAAGGTTATTATTTCATCTATGATACTTATTATGTGCTATGTTGAGGACTTTGATCAGTTATATTGGTGACACTGCTGTTTGGCATAATCGTCATAATGGTCATAATAGCACAAACTAACCATTCGGTGTTAATTATTGCAGTTTGATTGTTCATCTTCTTATAGTTTACAGCTGTTCGACAGATGACACTCGGGAGATACGATTGGTGTCTTATAATTGACTACCATCTTTGTCAAGCTTGTTGCTGCTGCTGCTGATGTTTCTGCGTCATTTAATATACGCCAGGAGTAATTTCATGCAATAAATATGGATTTGGATCGGATACACATACCTTGGTGTGTGTAAATTAAAAAATTTGTTTTATTTTAGGTGTTTTTTATAAATATAAGGTATTTTAAATGGGAAACAGTGAACTTTGTGGCCGTCCAAACAATTGCATCAATGCAATTCCATTTACAGGTAATTTACAGTGGTAACAGAATTTGAAAAGTTTCATTTTCATTGTTGTTCTGTGTAGAGAGTGCAGAACGATGGGCTGTACTTGCAGCAAGACGGATATTAATGATCGCCACCCGAACATCTTTCAGGTAAGAGTGACAAATGTTTTGCTTAAGATAAGAAGTTTATATTACTATAAACCAGTGGTTCTCAACCGTTGCGAGACCGTGGCCCGGTAAATTCTTTTTTCTATAATACGAGGGCCCGGCGGTTGAGAAACACTGCATAAACTGTTATCTTCTAATTAATATTGTCTTATTAAATAGGTGATGAATGTGGATGAACTAGGCAATTGGTTAAGCCATGGGCAATTGGAGATAACTGAATCTGACCTAGTCCTATACCAGAAAAAGAAAGATCCAGTTAAATGGCCACTACGATGTCTGAGACGATATGGATTTGATGCAGATTTGTTTAGTTTTGAGTGTGGTCGGCGTTGCCCAACAGGACCTGGTATTTATGCTTTCCGCTGTCAGCGAGCTGAATTGTTGTTCAACTTGCTGCAGAGTCATATCCAAGTAAGAAACAGTGCTAGTGAAGATGCTGTCTCTCAGGAATTCCAAGTTCCTTCAGCCCCAGGTCCAGCTGTATCATCTCGACTAAGTATTAGTGGAGATACCACATATTTGGAGCTCTCAACTTTAAGGTCAGGCAGTAGAGTTAATGCTCCGAATAGTATCCGCTTTGCATCCCAAAATGGGGGAGGATCAACAAGATTAGGCAGTGTTGGGAGCAGTAGCAATGGCCCCATTAGTCCTCAGGGTACTGCATCTCCATCACCACCACCTGCAATCATTCCTTCTTTCCCAGGTCTGTCTGTAACTAGCAACAACAATCCTAATTTATATTATGCCAATGAAGAATTATTTATGGCATCAGCAGCTACTGCTGCTGCTACTACTACTACTACTATTACTACTACTACTACTAGTAGTAGTAGTAGTAGTAGTACTACAACCACCACCACCACTGTTACTACAACCACAACTACAGTAGCACCAGCAGAGCCATTTGAAAGCAGTGTTCAACAGCAGCAGCAGCCCCAGAGAACAGTCAGGGAACCTCATTTCAATGGTGAGTCAATTCCTTGTACAGTGCCACCCCCTGTTACAACTGATGGGAACAAGTCTACATGTCGGCAAAGTGTGGGGAGTGCTGATGGAATTACAACAAATATCAGTGTTGAAACCATGTCTTGTACCCAGACATACTTGACACCATCTTACATCAATGTAGATCTCAGTGCAGGAGTAGAACCAGTATCTCCAACATGTAGTATCAATGGAGAATCAACTTATGCTTGTCATAATCTGACAAATGATTCCCAACAGTGTCATCTTTACATGAATGTCATCCCTGGACCAGAAAATGGTGTATCAGCAACTCCTGATAAACCGTCCACCACCATCTGGCCTAAACCAGCACTGCCTTGTTCTGGCATGCAGCAGCAAGAATGGGAATTAGAAGAATCACGCCACTGTTATGCCAATTTAGAACCAGGTGAAATTGAAGTGGCTAGAAGTCACATTCCAAAGAGACTGTCAGGAACAGAGAGAGTGCCCCCTCTGCCACTGCTTTCTTCCACAGTTCAGTCACCACAGAACCCACTAACCCCTCCTCCTGGAGTGGTCCGGACGTTGAATTATGTTGAGTTGAATCTAGAACAAAATAGAACAGACTCAATGGCAGGTAATGCAAATTCCCCTGTTGGGTCTGTTCCTCCCACCTCTCTATCTCTTCCACCAGACTCTCCAAGACGAGGTACAGAAGGGTATGCAACGATAGACTTTAACAGAACTGCGGCACTCTCTCATTCAGTAAATCCAAATGTTGACAATGACAGTGAGGGCTCTCGAAAGACCAGGCACAATTCAACTATCAACGACCATATTGCTCCCTCCACAAGGCTCAGCTCATCAGACTAAATATAGGGTATGCTTATTTTGCAATGAAGACTCTTTAGTTTCTCTGTTTGCAATTTTGTGAACTTTGTTAGACTCATTTTCAGAATACACATCGAACTCTTCATAATGTACCGTAGACATTATGCATGTACCCTTAATTGTAAACAATCAAAGTAGAGGGGAAAGATTACAGTACTGTGCAATAATTGCTGGTCTGTTTGAAGAGACACAAACCAATTTTTAAAAACAATTATATTAGAGATATTTGTACATAGTAATTATTACATGTTGAACTGTGTGCCTGAATATATATTTTGTGTGATTAGGTATATACACATAGTAGAATTAAATAAAAGATATATTGCATACTTGTTTGTTTTCATTAAATTCTTTGAGTCCCTTATTATACCTTTCATATATACTTGAGTAATCCATGATACATATGTAATGGCCGTCTTGTAGTGCACTCAATTTCACATGTCGCTTCTTACTACATGTTTCGCCAACATAGTGCCATCTTCAGGTTCGTTATTTACGCTAAGGTATTACATTGTTTGCCATCTTGTGTCTTTCATAAAATTATTTAGAAAGTACATTATTCGTCAGCTATAACAAAATTTGTATATACTAAAACTTTTTAAGATCATTCATCTATATGTCTTAATTCAAACTTGCGTATAGTATATACAAATTTTATTATAGTTGACGAATAATGTACTTTCTAAATAATTTTATGAAAGACACAAGATGGAAAACAATAACGAACCTGAAGATGGCACTATGTTGCCGAAACATGTAGTAAAAAGCGACATATGAAATTGAGTAAACTACAAGACGGCCATTACATACGTATCATGGATGAAAATCAGTGCAACAGGACGCTAAAATACAACATTATGAATACTTGAGTAAAATAAGAAAAAGGTAAACCTATCCCTGTAACAGGCCATGGAGGCCCATAGGGTTGTGAGACATCAAGGCCCCCACATTTTCTAGACAGTTGGCTCACAGATGACAGCGAGGTTGTCGGCCTTACACACTGGCCACCCTTTACACTCAGGAAGATTCCTGGTGCTGATTTCTGTTAGAGGTTGAGTCAACCTCAGGGCCATAGTGTGGCTAGAAAGATTAGGTCAATTAAAAATTCCAGTGACCTCATTGGGAATCAAAACTGCGACCTTCTGGCCTGTAGCATAATGCCTCATTCATATATACTTGAGAGGAGACAAAATGTAATCTTTCAGGTTTTTATGATTGTGTTCATAGTGTAGTCTTCTGGGCTGTGACACAGTACAGTCTTGTAGGTGTATACCAATATTTGAGAAAAATATTGCCATGTATAGGGTGGTACACGTGATGAAAATAACAGGTGCTAGATCAGATGACTGGATTTATTAGCAATTCAATTGCATGTTCTCTTAATTACAATTAATACAGCGCTATCGCTTACTCACTCACTCTCCAGTTCACCGTTGCACACGCACTAGGATTCTCAGTTTCCACTAGTTGTTTCATAGCAGTGGATCTCAACACAGAAATTAGCACTTTAAACCACTATTAAGTCTTGCCATTTTGTCTTTAATTACTCTGGAATCTCTGAACTAAAAATTCTTCTGGACTCACTCCTCCAACTTACAACTGACTCGTAACTGCCCTTGAACTAACTCTGTCAAGTCGAAGTCACATTGTGACTGACAGTCAGTCAATCAGTAAGTCTTGGTGTCGAGCCCCATCTGGGGCCCATGACCAGATATTTATTATTGTTTGACAGTTACGGTTTTGTTTTTGTGGGGCGCCCTCTCTGACGAGAGGATGGGTCTGTCATTTGTATATGCTGCTGGTCCTTGCCAGCACAGTCTTTCTCAGGTCTGAGTCCCTAGGGAATCGCGACCATATTTTACTCTCTCAGATTTGAGACTTTCCTTTTTGTCGCCTCCTACAACTCACAGGGTCACTGTGGATCATCTCTATTGTTGATGATGTCACCACTTAAGTGGAAGTGTGTTTACTGAGCCATTGCTTAGAAATGGGTTGCATAATCCCATTGTTCCACTGCTGCTCGATGCGGATGACATAGACAACACAGCCTCATTTATTGTGTGTTGGACTGTGTTTACAGAGCTGTTGCCTGGCAATGTGTTGATCAAATCCATTACATAATGTTGCTTCCATCTTCAGAGTGGTGATGAGGCAACATGTTTCTGTATAAAATTGTGTCCATCTACAAGACCACACAGTGCCACAGCCCAGAAGACTGCAATCTGAAGAAGAAAGATTGCATTCAACAAAGGTAATTTATTTCATTCAAATGTTCACTGTTTCCTATTTTTTATTTATTTTTATTTACATTTATACAATCCGTTGATCCTTATGGTACAGCTGACCAGTGGATATGGATTTTGTCACAAGCTAATAGATTAAAATATGGAAAATACAAAAACTTACATACTTTTGTCATTAAGACAGTTAAAAGATTTATATTAATGTACAATGCATAAAATGATCAAAATTATAAAACAATAATTGATAGAAAATACTTGATAGAAAATACGTAGGTAATGATATAAAATTAACATATCAGGGGTACAATTACCAATTTTAATTACATACATGGTTAAAATATTCCTCTAAGGAATAAAAAGAATTTGAAAGAAAAAATCTTTTTAGCCTCAGTTTAAATAGTTTCACATCATTACTCATACTCTTGATTCTGGATGGCAGGTGGTTATAAGCCTTAATACCAAAGTAATATGGTCCTTTCTGAAAGATTGTTAGGCGTGATGTGGGAAGGTGCAAATTTGTGGTATGTCTAGTATTAAGATTGTGGGTCTCATAGTTTGAACTGTAAAGGTCTCTATTATTTACAACAAACAGAATTATAGAGTATATATACTGTGAGTACATGGGTAATATTTTTAGGTTTTTGAATAGTTCCCTACATGAGTCTCTAGTTCTTACATTCATAATAGTTCTAATGATCCGCTTTTGCATTCTGAAAACATTTATACTAGTTGCTGAGCTACCCCAGAAAATTATCCCATATTCCATGATAGTATGCACATAGGCAAAGTAGATCATCCTTAGGGTTTCCTGTGACATGAGACCTCTTACAGTTCTAATTGCATAGCAAGCTGCACTCATTTTAATTACTAATTTATCAATATGAGACTTCCATGATAATGTTTCATCAATATAAATACCTAGAAACTTAATATTTGGCACATTAGTGATATTCTTATTTTGATGATATATGCTTATGTCTGTTACCAAACTATTTTTAGTCCTGAACAGGAGATGGTGGGTTTTATTAAAATTTAAGGATAGCAGGTTAGCTTCAAACCATTTGTTTATGGCTAAGAATTGTTTATTCATATTAATTTCCAAATTATGAGGGCTCGAATCGGATATTATGATACTAGTATCGTCAGCGAATAAAATAATCTTCGCATTATTTGTTATTACTTTGGGTAAGTCATTAATATACAATAAGAAAAATAAAGGACCTAATATAGAGCCTTGTGGGACACCATATTTGATGATCTCCCAATCAGAAAAGGTGGTATTATAGGTTGTCCTATTATTTAATACTACCTTTTGGTATCTATTGTTCAAATAAGACTTGATTAATTTTTTAAATACTCCATTTATCCCATAGTATCCCAGTTTATTTAAAAATATTTCGTGGTTAACACAGTCAAATGCTTTCTTCAGGTCACAGAAAATGCCCCCAATAGTTAATTTATTGTTCATGGCTACTAAAATTTCATTTAATAATTTAAAAGAGGCCCTATTTGTTGTAGAGTTTTTTCTAAATCCATATTGATCACTAGCAAGTATCTTATTTTGTATTAGATGCTGGTTAAGCCTTGAATATATTACCTTTTCAAATACCTTAGAGAAAGCCGGTAACAAAGATATTGGTCTATAGTTAGAGATGTTAAGTTTATCCCCACTTTTAAATACTGGTTTTACTATTGAAAATTTCAGTCTAGTTGGGTAAATTCCTGAAGAAAGAGATTTATTTACAATATATGTTAGCGGAGAACTAATAAATAGGGCACTAGCTTTCAATATTGCGACAGGTATCTCATCATAACCATGGGAGTATTTGGCTTTTAAGGATTTGATGATTCCTTCTATCTCATGGGTAGAGGCATGCTTAGGTCTAATATTTGACAGCGGACTCGTGAACATTGAGGACATATAATTTAAATAGTTATCATGCATAGGCTGTCCAGTTTTACTAATACTTGTATTATCAATAATATCCTCAGCAACTGTTACAAAATAATCATTAAGATTTTTTGCCATGATTTGTTGGTCGGAAGTTATAATACCCTTGATATCAAGGGATTGAATGTCTACTTTATCTTCTTTTTTCCCAGTTTCAGTTTTGATTATGTTCCAAATAGTTTTTGATTTATTTTTAGAGTCTATAATCCTCCTGTCGTAGTGAATTTTTTTAGCCGCTTTGATGACATTAGTTAGAATTTTACAGTATTGTTTGTAATGTTCTTTTAATTTTATATCATTACTAGTCCTACACTGTAAATAAAGATTTCTTTTATTTCTACATGAAATACGTATTCCTGTAGTTAACCATTCATGAACATTTGGTTTGCTCTTTATTTTTCTTCTCGTAAAACTGGAGTAGAAAATCCTAAGATAGGTATTGAGAAAATTATTAAACATTATATTTACGTCAGTTGCTTCAAAAATATCTTCCCACATCTCAAAGCTCATCCTATTCATGCCTGCTGCTCTGTGACCCACAATAATACAAGCTGTGTTGCCATATAGGATGTTGCAGAGATCATTAGCTTGCTGGTCAAAGCATAGTGAGAAATGCAGATGATATGGTTTGATAAGACATTCTTGAGTTATATCTGGTGCATCACCAGGCAGCAAAATCATAATGGTGTTGTAAGAGGCTATGACTGTGCATATTTTGGTTGCAGATAGTACTGATTCTGCTGCTAGGTGGTTCTGCAAACAGTATTCTGCCATCATGAAAAATACTTGTTTACAAGGGTTTCTTGAAACTTGGATTTGCATTTTTTCCATGTTAAATGTTTTCATTGGATTCTGAGTACATGAATATGGCCATAGTTTAATGATAAGAATCTTCACCTGTAAGACATGCTGAAAATGTGACAAATTTAATATTAAACTTTTGTCTCCTCCATTTTTCAATCACTGACATACCCTCTTGCAAAATTTTGTTTTTGGCATTTCAGTTTCACTATTCTCCTTATACACTAGATTTTGTCATGACAGAAAAGGTTTCCTGCTTCAACTTAGGTTCACTGAACAGGTACAAAAATTGAATTCCTTAAAGAACATAACATGAGTATATTCAATATTGGTA